TAATGCTAAACATTCTATTTATCCTTGAAATAAAATCTGTATTTTTTCGTTTTACTTATACAAAACTTTTTCTAAAATATTTATTTTTTTAATACTGATTTTCTTTGATTAGTTTGTTCACAGTAGTGACTTTAAGAGTTATTAAATAAAGTATTGATGAAGTCTTGACTTAAAAATTTCTAACTTTAACAAAAACTTAAAATTCTAAAAAATTAAAGTCCTGAAGTTTTTTTATAATCTTTATGCATTATTCTCTACATTAAATTATGTTTAATAGAATACAATAGATTCATCACAATAACGACTTTCAATTCGCATGTATTTATGATGTTACATTACTGTTTATCTTAAAATTTGTTTAGTTTCATTAGTAAATTTAGATAAGAAATCGTTCTGTAATATAATGGATAAGATAACTTAAATGACATATAAAAAAACTGTATAAAAAATAGTGAAGTCAGTGGATGCTATTACTGACAACCATGAAATAATTTGTTAAACTGAACAATTCTAAAAAACTTCTAACAAATCTTTGATGAATGGGCATTCTTAATATGTATAATCAAAACAACAAGGTTAAATTAGTTTTAGGAATTCTGGCACTCACTCCACCACTGGTCATTTTTTTTGTTATAGTATCAGTTATTTCAGCCTAAGTATTGTAGTAATATTTGATAGGCTAAGCCTGTATTTCAGGAAATAATTCCTACAATATGCATCCTAAACTCCAAATATCTGCAAAAGCTGTTGATTCTTCTCTATCGATTTTCAGTTCAGGAGGCATGTTTATTAATGTCCTTTTAGTGCTTCCACTGGTTGATTGTAAACTCGACTCTAGTTCATCAGATATACGAAGGTCCATGTAGCAGAATTCATCCATGCATTGCTCGTTCATGAGAACATTTCTTAGTTTGATATCTCTGTGCAAGATTGGGGCAAAAGGTGGTGGTCGTAAAAGTAAAAAAGCTGCTGTTTGGCAGAAGTCATAAGTCATAAGCCACTGTAATCTTATCCATCAGACTTAAATTAAATTTTTTTCTCTCTTGAAAATAATGAAGTGTACTAAGTAAATTTTCAGATTTTAAGTATTCCATGATTATGACAACTTTAGCTGACGAGTCACAAGCCATACCTTTAATAAATATAATATTTGGATGAGACACCTAATCCAACAGATTTATCTCTCTTGAAATGAATTTTTCTTTATTTAAAACCACCAAAATCTTAACAGCAACATTTGTTTCTCAAAATTTACCTTGTTCACAGCGCCTTGAGCATCCTTATCTATTTCCCAATAGGGTAATTAAAAAAAATTTTTTTAACCACGGGAACTGACACTTTCAGATTTTTAATTTTGTTTTAATGTTACTCTTTTAGGAATTAAAAAAATTGAAGGAGTCAAACTTTTAATCAGATAATAGAGATTCACCGAATTGGTCCAATCCTTTAACCTAAGAATTTTTAGATTGTTTCAATACTTTCTTTATGACAGTTAGATTGCTGTTTTCCAGATGATTTTTCAACGTTCCGTGGAACCTCCTGCAGTAATGTTTTACAGCTGAGTAAATTGATCATTATAATTGACTAATCTTTAATGTGTTAGAGTGCAGGTACTTTAGCTATTGATGTCTCTATATTATTAGTTGATAACACCTTCACTTCGAAAAACCGTGGCATCCCCCTTTATCTGATGCTTATCATGGTCTGCACTAAGCTTTTTGTTTGACGTGATACTAGCAGTCTTTTTAGGTAGGCCTGTCACGTTTGTTAAATTTATCAAATATAATAGACTTTGTACAAGGATTGTTACTTAAATAAAATGATTATTGTAATTGATTATTTATTTGTGGTTGTTATTGTTGTTGTTGCTATTGTCGTTGCGGTTGTTCTGAAACTGATGAAATACCGTGTTCTACCTGAGTGGATCATGATGCCTTTTTATTGGGATAGGTGGCTGAAAGTAAATAAAAAACCGTAGGGTGGCCATTGCTCCTGTATTTTCTTACAAATTGACAAAATCCGCATTTTTCACCCTTAGCTTCGAAGCCGAATATCTCATTATTATCGTGTCTTCTAATGGTGCAACAAGAATCACTTTAAATCGTACAATTAATTTTATTCTTATCACTAAATATACTAACAAACATTAATTTTAATTCATCCAACTCATAGTTTGTGTTTTAATTCAATTCCATTTTTACTAGAGTATATTTTCTATTTCGCATTTTAATCCTTCTTATGCTTCCAGACAACGAACACCACTTGTGTATTGAATTCGTCTTTCTTGGAAGATACTTGGTTCTTGTTAGCAACGGTCTCTTGGGTATATTGACAAAAATAATTTTTATTTATTACAGGGGACTAAATAGAAAATTGAATAGTTACACTAGTTATCTTTAGTTTTGTCTCAATGTTTTCATTTTACTTTCAATCAGACTTTAAAGTTACTTGAATCAGATCTTTAAATCTTGCTCATCGTTTGATATTCCGATTAGGTACTTTACATTAAAATATTAAAATACTTATTGTAGGCAGTCTATGATGTGAGAATTTATTACCTACTACTGTAATTACTTACTTGCTCATAAAGATTCGCTATTAAGTAGTTTTAGATAATAAGTTTCAATATGAGGT